AAAAACAACAGCAGAAAACAGGAGCAAATAAAATTGCAATCAAATAGCAATGTTCAAATATCTACTCTGACAGCTTTTACCCCATAGTTCATTTATTCCAAAACACTTCTTCCACACTCTTTGTTGGGGGGGGGGGGGAGGAGGCAATTCCAAAGTGGATAAAAATCAGGAGTAAAATTCATATACATAAAAACAACAACAGAAGAGCATATAACATTTCAACCAAATAACGGCGGAGAGCAATCAAATCTGACACTAAATTCCAACAAAAGCCTGGGAAAATGCCCAGGTTTTTACCTGGCATTGAATGCCAGCAATGTTGGAGCCAGTTATTTTTCAGAGTGGCGGAGTTCCAAAGCTGGAACACCATCACTAAAAATATTCCCTCCTAAGCTGCTATCAAATGAACTACATCAAAAGGTGGTATCACGAAGAGAGCTGTTGTGTGTATTAGTTGGTGCTATCCTAGTACAGAGGCTGTAAAACAGTAGGCAAGGGTGCTTTATTCTAGATTGTTGTAATGGGATTAGGGAATTGTTATATTGAGACCAGGGATTATTTAAGCATTCAATATGGACACTTGAAAAGTTAATTCTTTGTTGCCATTCCCACCTTTCCTGTGAGTCTCTCCATCATCCAAGTCATGAAAGCCTCATCTTGGAGAAAGTGACAAGGCAGCAAATTGAATAGACCACATCAGACTTCTCCTTCTCTGTAAATGATACAAAGACCATCCCTTTATAATGGGTGTAGTTAGAAAATGTAGTTAGAAATTCTGAAAGGGCAAGTGATGGGATAGGAAGGTCAAAACAAGGAAAAATTGATTTAGCATTAATTTTCATCAATATGCCACTTTTTCCTTCAAGGAGCCCAAGGTGTACATGACTCTCTTCTTCCCCATTTTATCCCCACAGCAATCCTGTGAAGTAGGTAAGGCTAAGAGGCAGTGACTAGTCCAAGGTCACCCAGTGAGATTCATGGCTGAGTGTGAATTTGAACCCTGGTCTCTCAGGTAATAGTCCAACAGTATAGGTAAAAGGTAAAGGTAAAAGACCCCTGGACAGTTAAGTCCAGTCAAAGGTAACTATGGGGTCTGGCATTCACTCACTTTTCAGGCTGTGGGAGCCAATGTTTGTCCACAGACAGCTTTCAGGGTCATGTGGTTAGCATGGCTAAACCACTTCTGGCACAATGGGACACTGTGATGAGTGCAAGAGCGCATGGAAATGCCATTTAACTTCCCACCACAGCGGTACCTTTTTATCTACTTGTACTGGTGTGCTTTCAAACTGCTAGGTTGGAAGAAGCTGGGACACATTCCAACACTATAACCCAGGGGTCACCAAACTTTTTCAGCAGGGGGCCGGTCCACTGTCCCTCAGACCTTGTGGGGGGGCCGGACTATTTTTTTAAAAAATGAACAAATTCCTATGCCCCACAAATAACCCAGAGATGCATTTTAAATAAAAGCACAGATTCGAATGTAAAAACACCAGGCATACGCCACAAATAACCCAGAGGTGCATTTTAAATAAAAGGACACATTCTACTCATGTAAAAACACACTGATTCCTGGACCGTCCGTGGGCCGGATTTAGAAGGTGATTGGGCCTCCGGGCTTTAGTTTGCTTACCCATCCTATAACCTCTACCCCACACTGTATTGTGTGTCCAGTTCTCTGCCCCACCTTCTACCTCAGGAAATCCTCTGGCTTCTCCTGAGGTTTTAAGAAGTTGTGATGCATAACAGTGATGGTTCACTCTGCAAAGGGCTACAGCTTCATAAGTACTGAATTTCATAAGCTACCTATAGGAGATTCCTGATCAATTCTAGCCCACATGTGTCTGAATATATGTTGTGATCATTGAGCTGCCTTGACAGCAGATGTTCCTATCACGTCAAAGAGCCTTGAGGCAGTTAGAGGGAAAAGACTCATAGCAAGAAAAATATAAAAAACCCCTCAACAAATAATTGGAAAAATATTGTGAAGAGAGAAAGTGAGAATATAATGTGTCCAATGTTTCAATTTAATGCTTTAATATTAATTTTTTGGGCATTACCTAAGGCTGCTGTTTTGAGTGTTTTCGCAGACAGAGTGAGACAATTCCTTTCACTTTGCATTATCTACCTCTCTTTGCCTAGGGGAAAACATTACATTGAAAAAGTGTGGCCGTATGCATCAGTTTAGCAGATAATATGCCATTACTTCACTCCTGCAGTGGGTGAAAATAAGCTATCTGGTTAAAAACAACAATGTGGCGAACTATGAATACTGCTTCACTGTATCAGCTGGACATGAATTGGGGAAAAAATGAATCAAAGTGCATCTAGTCAGCTGTACATTATAGTAATCTGAATAAATATAGACACATTTGCAGAATATAGACACCTTATGCAGATTTTCCTGAAAAATATAAAATAAACCAGCCCTTGTTAGCAAAGCCACTGAAATAATGCAGAAGGAATTCAGAGAGAAAAGAAAACACTTTACTCAAGAAACTGTATAAATTGAGTAGAAATAGAAGTGAACTTTTATCTTTCTTACGACCAGACTTTTAGAAGACATCTGAAGGCAGCCCTGTTTAGGGAAGCTTTTAATGTTTAACAGAACACTGTATTTTAATACTTTGTTGGAAGCCGCCCAGAGTGGCTGGGGAAACCCAGCCAGATGGGCAAGGTATAAATAATAACTTCTTCTCTTTCTTCTTCTTCTTGTTATTATTCAGGCCTTGCACACAGCAAGGATCTTTCAGTTTGTAACTCAAGGGTTAACTCTGTTACTGTTAAAAAGGGGGACAGGTAGAGATGTTAACAACCAGGCAAAGTTCCATGATGTTCACTGAGGTAATTATGCTGTGATTGGCTGTGCAGGTCTGAGGCAGTTTTCCTTTGTATGTTTGTTGAATTATCTCCCTGCTATGTACAACGTAAAGGTGAAGGTAAAGGACTCCTGGATGGTGTTGGGATTTGCAGGATGATGAGTAAGTCTGCAGGCTTCAACAGGCTGATGCAATACTCTGTGAAGTGCTGGGTCAGAGTGACTCAGCAGGAATGTGATTGGCTATCACCTGTTTTAAAAGGAAAGCCTGTTCAACAATAGTTGTGGTGTGGTTGTGCTGTGGTGTGGTGGTTGTGCTGGTCCCGGGGGGAAGCTTACCGTTGGCGTAGTCAAACTCCGGTCCTGGGTCACTAGCCTGGAAACAGTTCACAAGGAGCGGGGCGAGGTCCGAAGCAGGAAGCCGGGCAGGGACAGGAACACTGGAGGGTCAGGTCTGGGTCCGGGCAGGAACAGGTACTCCACAACGACGTTGCTCCCACAACCTGAGACAGGGCTGACTGGCCTTTATCTTCTCTGAGGCCAGGGGCGGTCCCGGCCCCCAGGAGACCCGCCTCTCCTGGCCTTAAGGCGAGCACTCCTCCTGGGAGAAACCAGTTCCCTTCGCCTCTCTGCCCTGAGCCTCTGCAGTTCAGGAGAGGCTGAAGGGTTACTGGGCCCGGGGGGAGACTCACCTGTAGGCACTGAGTCCTCAACCACCTCTGGAGCCAGAATGGAATCACCTGGTGCCTGCTCCTGAGGATCCAGCACAGGTGTAGGCGCCTCAGAATCAAGGCCCTGCCCCAGTTCAGCCGGCCCTGGAGGCGGGGACTCCTGTGCAGGCTGGGATTCCTCCGGTTCACCCTCTGAATCGGATTCCCAGGCCATCACAGTGGTGCTGTGATGGAGAGTATTCGTTTGCCCTAAGGTGCAGGTACTCTGTATGAACTGCTTTTGTAAATACTTGTATATAGCTCACATTAAAAAGACTGCGACAGGGTTATGGGCCCAGCACGCTTCCGCTGCGCAAGAGTACAGGTGGCAGTTATCTAGCCGTGGGTGCTGGAGGTGAGCTCCAGGGATGGACCAGTCCAGAACTGGTGTGTTCCTGGAGAAGCTGACGGCCACGAACTACAGCATCTGGTCGGTCCGCATGCAACACTTCCTCAAGCGTGAGGGCCTGTGGAAGGTGGTGGAAACTCCACCGCAGCCCCCTGAGGAGGATGAGGACGATGATGAAAAGCTGGCACTAGCAGAGGCCCAGCTAGAAAAGGATGAGAAAGCTTTGGCTATGATCATTCTTGGAGTGGATGACAGCCAGCTAGTCTACGTAGCGACAGCCAGCTAGTCTACGTAGCTGATAAGGTGACGGCGAGTGAGGTGTGGAATGCGCTCAAGGCTGTCCATGTGCGAGAGACAGCTGGCTCACTGATAACATTGACCAGGATACTGTACCGGTGTCGGAAGAAACTGGGGGACTCCCTGGTGAACCACCTAAAATTCCTAACAGGATTTTCCAGGAGCTAGCCTTAAGAGGGAGGCCTGTGGGGGAAGAGGACAAAGTCTTTATAGTCCTGAGTTCCCTTGATGACAGCTATGATATGCTGGTCAATTCCCTCGAGTCTGTAGAGACTGATAAGCTGACTCTGGAATACGTTACTGCACGGTTGTATGCAGAGGAGGACAGGCGTGCAGAGCGAAAGATGACCTCAGCCCAGCTGTTGGAGCATCCCAGAGGGAACAACAGCCGGGAAGAGCAGAGGTGTCGGGAGCCAGAGAAACAGCCAGGAGGAGCTGCTGCAGACCAGCCGGTGGTCAACAAAGTAAAAGGTGTTTTTGCTGCAAGTCCAGTGGACATCTGCTGCGGGACTGCCCGAGAAAACAACAAAAACAGCAGAAGCACAGGAGGCAGCAGAGAGAGTCTACCGCTTGGGTGTCTGCAGATGGTCAAGAAAATGAAGAGCTGTGGGTTCTGGACAGTGGAGCTTCTCAAACCTTTTGTAAAAGAAAAAGATTGCTAACTGATGCTAGGGCTTCAAACAAAAAACATGTAAGTCTTGCTACAGGCCAGAAAGCTAATGTGGTTTGTGAGGGGGAGGTTGTGTTCCCACAGCTGGGACACACATTCAGGAAAGTGTTGTGTGTGCCTAGTTTGCAAAACAATCTCCTGAGTATTCCAGACTTGGCAAAAGCAGGCTTTGAAGTAAACTTTGTGGGAGATCAGTGCCAGATAAAGAAAAATGGGGCAGTGTTGGCAAATGCTAACCTTAGAACTAATATGTATGTACTGCAGTGTGAGTCTAAGGTTGCGAATGTGCAAAAATGTCCCGACCCATGATATGTATAGTCATCTCCTGCATAGGCGTCTGGCTCATGCTAGCTTTAAGGTGCTGAACAAAACATTGGAGTTGTGTGGGGGGATGAAAAACATTAAAAGTTGTGATAATTACTTAGACTGCAATATCTGCAAGGAGGTTAAAAGCAGGGCTTGCCCAGTAGCAAGAGCAAGCCAGAGAGAAACCAATAATAATAATAATAATAATAATAATAATAATAATAATAATTTTTATTTATATCCCGCCCTCCCCAGCCGAAGCCGGGCTCAGGGCAGCTAACAACAATAAAACAGTACAAAAGTACAGCATAAACAACAGTCTAAAATCATTCGTTATAAAATTAATTAATTCAAGCCACTGGCAACCATTGGGCCAGAGCTCCGCGAAGATTGCCGAGGGAGGGAGTCAGGCTGTGCCCTGGCCAAAGGCCTGGTGGAACAGCTCTGTCTTGCAGGCCCCGCAGGGCCCTGGTCTCTTGTGACAGAGTGTTCCACCAGATCGGAGCCACAGCCGAAAAAGCCCTGGCTCTAGTTGAGGCCAGCCTAACTTCTCTGTGGCCTGGGACCTTCAAGATGTTTTTATTCAAAGACCGTAAGTTTCTCTGTGGGGCATACCACTGGAGTTGATTCATGCTGATGTAACTGGTCCTTTTCCACCAAGTGTCTCCCACAACAAGTACTGTTTGATCCTAGTGGATGACTATTCTAGATTTGGCTGGGTCTATCCATTAAAGCAAAAGTCTGACGTTGCCCAAACTTTGAAGTTCTGGGTAAGAAGGGTAGAAAGACAACTTGGAGAAAAGGTGTGCTCTATTCAGACAGACAGGGGAGGAGAGTTTATGGCAAGCTCCCTAAGAAACTGGTTGCGTTTCCAAGGGATTAAACATAGACTTACCAATGTGGCAACGCCTCAGGAGAACGGAGTAGCAGAGCGTAGGGGAGGTGTCTTGCAGACACAAATGAAAGCATTGTTAGCAGATGCAAATCTTCCAATTAAGTACTGGGCTGAGAGTATTAAGACCCTAAATTATATTGGGAATCGCTTGTGGTCAAGGGTACTAGATGACATACCCTATAAAATTCTCTATAACAAAAGTCCCAGTTTGCAACATTTGAGAATCTTTGGGACAAAGGCGTGGGTTGACATACCCGTAAAGAACCGAAGAAAAGGTGGGAAAGGGGCACAGCAGTTGCTATTTCTTGGGTATGAAAGTGGTACGAAAGCCTACAGGTTTGAAGATGATAAAAATCTTTTGAATTATAGTCGATCAGCCAGCTTTAATAAGCAAAGAAATTGGCCCAAGATACATGCAAACCTGCTGCCAGAAAAAGTTTTACTGCCGAGCGTACCTGATAAGGCAGCTGAAACAAAGCTAAGAATTGGCAGCTCTCCCAGAGAAACTGAAAGGGAGGAGGTAAAGGTTGAGCATTTTTCTCCAGCTGCTAGCATGGAGCAGGGGGGAAAAGAAAGTGCAACAGGGACAGGAGGAGGTAAATCTCCAGAATCAATCCACCCCAAAAGCAGTCCTGAAGGTAGCCAAGGGGGTGAGATTAATGAACCAAGGAGGTCTGCAAGAAGTAATAAAGGTCAACCTCCAGACCGTTATGGGTTCCCAGCCACCATAAACCAGGTTTGTGTAACTGAGCCAGAAAACTTTGAAGAAGTGCAAGAGTTACCTACTCTAGAGAAAGAGGCGTGGTTAAAGGCAATGCAGGCAGAATATAACTATCTGCTAAACAACAATGTGTTTGTATCTACAGAATTGCCTGAAGGTAAAAAGCCCATAAGCTGTAAGTGGGTTTTTAAAGTGAAAAAGCTGGCTGATGGTAGTTGTCAGAGGAAAGCCAAGTTGGTTGCAAGGGGCTTTACACAAAGGAAAATGATACATTATGATGAAGTGTTTGCCCCAACAGCAAAGGCTGAAACAGTAAAATCAGTTTTAGCAATGGCAAGTCTGAGAGGGTTAAAAGTTAATCATTTTGATGTTGCCTCAGCATATTTAAATGCTCCTATTGACACCGAGGTGTATTTACAGCAAATACCAGGTTATGAGCTGGAAAAAGACAGCATGGTGTTAAAGCTGCAAAGGGCACTATACGGTTTACACCAAAGTGCACGTCTATGGCATGAATGCATAGACACAACTTTGAAAAAGATGGGATTCAAACAAAGCCTGGCTGATTCCTGTTTATATTCAGCAATGGTGCAAGGAAGTGTTTGTTATTTACTTTTGTATGTTGGCGATATCTGTCTAATAACAACTGCACAAAAGCAAGTGTCTTGGTTTATAAACAGCCTAGGTAACAAATACAAACTGAAGTATTTGGGAGAGATTCAGAATTACTTAGGAGTAGAGGTTCAGAGAAATGAAGAGGGCGTCTACTATCTGAGTCAGAAGGAAAAAATCGAAAAGTTACTGAAGACATATGGAATGGAGAGGGCAAATGAGGTTGACACTCCCATAACTACCCAGTACAAAAATGAACCAGAAGGACAAAAATGTGAGAATGCAACAGCATTTCATTCTCTGTTGGGTTCTCTGTTATATTTAAGTTGTTGGACAAGACCCGACATAACATTGGCAGTGCACATGTTAAGCCAAAGAAGTGCAGACCCGGCTCAGAGAGATTGGGTAGCACTTAAAAGAATCCTAAGGTATCTGAAAGGCACAAAAGATTACAAACTGGTGCTGGATACAGGATATGATCAGCAAGTGTATGCTGATGCCAGCTGGGGGGACAGAGAAAATGGAAAGTCTACCACTGGCTATGCCATATATATTGGAAATGCCCTGGTTCAGTGGAAATCCCAGAAACAAACATTTGTTGCCACAAGTACTTGTGAAGCAGAGCACTCAGCCATAAGCGAATGTGTGTCACAAGTAGAGTGGTTTGCTTGTCTAACAAAAGAACTTGGAATACCTTCTGAAATGCCAATCACTGTGCTAAGTGACAACATGGCTGCACAACAGCTTGCTAACCAACAGAACTTTAAGAGCAAGAGTAAACATATTGCTATAAGATACGGAAATGTGAAAAATGCTTTGGAAAGAAATGTGTTAAAGGTACAGCACTGTAACACAAAATGTAATGTGGCGGATTTGTATACAAAATGTTTGGATGCTCCTAAATTTTGAGACTTAAGAGAATTATTAGATCTCAAGCCTTTGACTTAAGGAGGAGTGTTGGGATTCGCAGGATGATGAGTAAGTCTGCAGGCTTCAACAGGCTGATGCAATACTCTGTGAAGTGCTGGGTCAGAGTGACTCAGCAGGAATGTGATTGGCTATCACCTGTTTTAAAAGGAAAGCCTGTTCAACAGTAGTTCTGGTGTGGTTGTGCTGTGGTGTGGTGGTGCTGTGGTGGAGAGTATTCGTTTGCCCTAAGGTGCAGGTACTCTGTATGAACTGCTTTTGTAAATACTTGTATATAGCTCACATTAAAAAGACTGCGACAGATGGTTCAGTCAAATTCAACTATGGGGTGCAGCACGCATATCCACTTTCAGGTCGAGGGAGCCAGCATTTGTCTGCAGACAGCTTTCCAGGTTATGTGGCCAGCATGACCAAATCACTTCTGGTGCATGGAAGAAGAGCTTGAAAGGAGGGGTGCAAGGAGGCTTGGAATGACTGTCCTGTGCTAATCTGTGTTGAAAGGATCGGTGCTGCACAAATATTTCATGCACCCCCACATGCCTCCTTTGGATTTCCAAGCCTCCATACAACTTGCAAAGTCTGCCTAGTGCTGATCCTTTCAAACTTGGATATGGATCACCACAAGATGGGCTTTGCAAGGTGTGAGGATGCCTGGAAATCAAGAGGGAGGCTGACACCTATCTTTAGGTGCCAGGCTAAACCGTTCCTCTATAACCAGGCCTTTGGCCAACATTCTATGGCCTGTTTGTGGGAGGGGGCTATTGGTTGGTTTTTGTTTTTGCTTCATCATGTATTTTGTGTTCTCATTTTGTATTCTTGTGAACTGCCCTGTGGTCTCCAGATGGAGGGTGGTATACAAATAATAATAATAATAATAATAATAATAATAATAGGAATATGGAGTGCTCCTGGAGTGGGGAAGAATTCTCCCTTTCACCCTACACCAAAGCCAGCATTTTAAAATGCAGTTCTTTCCGCTGACACTTACTACCACAGTGGAGACCATCCACTTGCGCTGATGCCAGTTTCTGCTTAAACTTCCCATTCCAAGACAAACGTCAAGGTGTTGCTGTTGTATAGATTCATGGACAGAGGGATTTGTTGATTCAAGGCAGAGGAGGGGGTTCTTCTCTGGCACATCCCTCCCAGCACTGTTTGTTGTGTGTTTTAGAGGAATGTTATGGGGGTGGGGCTTGCGTCTGAACATCCACTTCGTACTGGTGATCTCAAAGCGCTCTGGACTAATGTGTAGCTGTTCCTGGTTGGAAAGAAAAGCCCACCCCCCATAGAATTTTGTTCTTTTCTATGTGGCATGAGATACCAAACATTGATATGTCATTTATTGCCCAAAATTTGTTGCTTGGAGTTCACAATAAGAGAGTAGAGGCGGCACTGCAGACCTTTGCTTCCCACCCATAGCAAAGCTTGTAGATCCAGAATGCTGACCTGGGGTCTTCCAGTGAGATGCTTCTAGGTGTCCTACATCCTTGTGACAACAAGGACATTTTTTGTTTCCTATAGAACTGACTCCCCTATAAGATAAGACAAGTACCTACTGTTCTTGGTTTCCAATGCTTGCTAAAACCTTTGCAGCATTAATATCAGGATGAGGAGGTTTTTCTTGATTTTGTTGCTGCTCTATTTTTTTGTTTTTCTTGTATTATTCTTGTTCTGTGGTGGATGTCCTTGAGATATTTTTATGAAAGTGTTTTAAACAATTAATAAAATAAACTGAAAGAAATTCGTCAGGAATATATCCTGACGCACTGTTGGTATCAAGGCAAAAGAAGCAGTTTTTCAATGGTTGCTTTGTCAATTGAAAGCTCAGAGCACAGAAGTGTTTTCATACTTTTCCATCTTAAGTTTTCTGAGCTGTTCCATTGCCAAAGTATTACATTTCACAAGAAGATATAATCAATATCCACTTCATACCCTAGAGATAACTTCAACTCTCATTTATGTTTATTTGCAAATATATTAGAGTATATATCATTCCACATGCACTATATTTGCTTGAAAGATTTTTAATAAAGAACACAAAAGTGATGCTTTGAACGTGATTATCTTGTGCCAAAAGATGAATAAGCTAATAATAAACTATCATATGTGGAATAAGCCTTACAATCATGTTTTCAAGGCTCACAAATCTAGGCAGGTTATGGGTAAATTTCTAAAAGTTGTTCAGTTGAAGAATAGGCATTGAAATAACAGGTGAAATCCAATGTTTAATAGGATGACATTTTGTAAGTAAAGAATAATGTTCCTCGGAAAATAGCCCTCACAATATAGTTATATATGGTTTGATTTTAAAATGGGTAGCGCTGTTCAAAGAATAATAATTCTGAAAGCATCTGTTCAGTCCTTTGTAGGTTCTAGATAATATTAGGGATCATTAGTGAAAGGTGGGGTACTATAGAAGGAATAATGAAATATAATACATCCACGCTATATATTTAAAGCACATTCTAGCATTATGTGTGAACCAGGATGTTCTGTGTTATTATCTTTTTCTCTAAAGATTCTAAAGCAGATTGTTGTTGTAAGCAATGTATTTGAAATATTGAATTGATGCTTTAAAAAAAAACACTAAAATACTTTGCTTTTGTCACACGTAACGGCATCATGTAGTCATACATAGTATCATACCACTCAAGCTTACTGCAAGCAGGGGGATAGTGCTAGGGCAATCCTTAGAGCTGGTTTTAGGAATCTGTCCAGATATAGCTGGACTGCAACTCCCATGGTAGCTGGAGCTGTGTGAGGAGGGCTGCACTGAGGAGGAATGGTGAGAGCCTCCCTCTTCCCCTGCTCCTCCTGAATCTTCCCAGGGGCAGGAGGCCGGTATAGATTTGGAACAGTGGTTTGCAGAGGGACATAGTTCAGAAGGCAGAAGCTGGGAAATACTGGATGGGGAACAGCTAGGAGAAGAAGCATTGGGAGAGAGAAAATTAACAGATTCACTGTCTCTGGAAAGCACTCATCCACTCTCCCCAACTTCAAGAAATACTGAGAAAGTGGCAGAACAGAAAGTACAGGGGTTACAAGCTCAGGTTACACGGCGTAGGAGTGACATGGGTGACTAGGGAGGTAAGGGAGCGGGAATTCCTAACTGAGAGCACAGCCATTCCTAGGAAATGGGTTCTTTGTTTTCTTGCTGTGATCATTAAAGTTTTTAACTGGTAAGAAGACTCCCTTTCCTTTGTTCTGCTTATCTACTGCCAAGGGGAGGGAGGAAAATGATTCCCTGAAGCCTGACAGACTGATGGGAATCATGCCCAATAACATCTGGACTGCCACCTCTGCCTTATAGCTCTGCTGTGACTCTTGGTTGAGAAGGCACTCCAGAAATAGTTTGAACCATATAATAAGATTTTTCACTTTGATCACTGATTATCCAAGAAGAGAAAAGAGTATTGTTGTTGAAGCTGTTCGACTTCTTCAATTTCTGCTGTGTATCACAACCTGGTATCATTATATAATATTCACCAAAATTTGTGATTTACATTGTTATTTCCATTTGTCTCAGGTTTCATCTCTTTCCTTTTGCTTCCTGCCTAGTCAATGGATGTGAAAATCTTGGTTGTAAACTTAACAAAATATATATTATATTTGACATGTTGGGCAGAAAGTCACGAGAAAACATAATTTTACCACAGCAAGTTAAAATAGGCCAACATTCTGCTATAATCCTTGTTTTTTTGGGGGGTGGGGGTAGTGGCCAGGGATAACATGCTAAAATTAAAATAAATGATGAATAAATCATTTGATAGGTCCTGGAGAAAAATCAGCATTTGAATCATTTGCTTTATAAACTTTGATGACTATGATCACAAAGTGAATATTCATTGCAAATCTGGTATGGTAAAGTTTGATGATAAAATTTTGAGACGTTGTATGGTATGGGAATATCAGGATTTATCAAGACAGAGCTGAAGATCATCTAGCTCAGTACCGTCTACAGGGGTGGGGTACAGGATCTGTTCAGTGGATCAGAATGGTATCATCCCCACCCCACCCCTGCAGGTCATATTTAATAGGTGGCTGGGACTGCCAACTGTCAATCACCTGGCAGCACAATAATGTGAGGTGACCCATTTTTGCTTGCACAATTTAAAATCAAATGGTGTGGGCAAAGACACAGTCTAGAGTGTTTGTCACTGGGGTTTGCAAAACTCAGTGTACAGAGCTTTGTATAGGGATTTGCAGGTGACTGCATACCCTTTTATGGCTAAACCAGCCCTAAGGATGGAAGGACCATTTTGGTTCTCCCAGTTTCTAAATTTTCCAATCCCAAACTCAGTTCTCCACATTTCTGCAGCACTTTTCAACTTTTAATAATTAGAATCCTCATGACATTCTGCATTTTAGTGCATATTTTCCCTAACAGACACATTTTTGTATACAATTTTGACTAATGCACACATTTTTGCAAGTAAGTTCTAATCCAATGCATTTTGGTAAGCAATTTTCATGAAAGTATTAGTTTTTCTGCACATTTTTGCCTAATATATGCATTTTTTGGTTAACATAAGTGGTTGGAAAACTGAACTGCAAAATCAGTACAATTTTTTGAAAGACTCCTCTAGTTGGAAAGTGCAAAAGATAGATTTGCCTTTAAATGTGCACAGAATCAAATTTCTCCTACAGCCCCACATGTGAGGGAAGGCAGGCCTTATGGTCAGATACGGAGGCCTATGTTCCATGCTTTGCAAGATCCATCGATCAGTTAATTGTTGGCGTTTGAGAAGCACAGCACATAGCACTTTGCAATCCCCCCTTTTGGCTAAGCCAGGTCTTTACCTGCCTCACACATGCGGTTTGGGCAGATATGCATGGTCTGCCCAAAATGGCCTCATGGGCCAGTTGGGGAAGCCTGGAGGTTCTCCACTGCTGGTCTACACTTATTGGCAATTTTTCTCCAGAATTTCAGGTAGGAGTCTCCCTGCAGTACCGGGAGAGGCTGAAGTTTGAACCTGGGATCT